GCAGTTGGTAGGTGAACATTGATTTCTGGTGCTGTCTTTTCTGACCTCTTTTTTTTTTTTTAAAATAGGTTTTTGTGTTTCTTGTTTGGTCTTTTTTTTTTTTTTTCTTGGCAACACTTTTCTAGTATTTGAAATATGTATTATGTTAAAAGTAACTTAAAAATTCACTCTTGTGACTTATCTAGACTTATTTCATAAGAAATCTTTCATGCTTGGGTAAGCAACCTCAGTTAAACTCAGTGACACACATACACAGTCATCAAAGTTGGCTCTTTTTGTTTTGTTTTGTTTTGTTTTGTTTTGTTTTCTTCAAGACAGTGTTTCTCTCTCTGTAGCTTTGGCTGTCCTGGAACTCACTTTGTAAATCAGGCTGACCTCAAACTCACAGAAATCTACCTGCTTTTGCCTCCCGAGTGCTGAGGTTAAAGGCCTGTGCCCACAACTGCACAGCCGACATCAAAGTTGGGAAGAAGGGGTTCAGCAGGGGTAAGAGAGAGTAGTGGAAGGGGATATGCATGTCAGAATTGCTTCAAGTGAGGTATAGTTATGACTTAGGAGAGAGCTATTTTAGATTGTGCAGCTTTCAGGAGTATTCCCTCTCTGCTTTTGTCTAATAATTTAGCCTCTGCCTTCTAAATAACTGTAGGCAAGTTTTCCCACTTCTTTTTGGAAAGTACTGTTTTCTTGCCTTTTCCCCCCTTTCCTTTCTCTTGTGTCAGACTTAAAAGCTGAGCCAAATGTGGTCATGAAACTCCTCAGAGGACAGTGAAGGAAGTGGAGAATGTTTCCCTAAGTAATCAAGTTCTTTGAGCCCCCCCCCCCAATCCCCACAACCCAACACACACACCTCTTTCAAATGCTGTACTGTATACTTTAAAGGCTTCTTTCTTCTGTTAGTTTTCTGTGGCTCACGTGCTAGCTAAGAAACCTAAATGTTCAACTGTTAAAGGGGACACACCATAGAAAATATTCTTTAAAAATAATTATGAGTTCTTGGTTGCAAAGGACAGAAAGTGTCTTTAATTTAATCAGAAAGGCATAATGCTGCTTAGGAAGTTTTATGTCTTGGAAAGCAGAAGTTTAGGAAACAAGGCATGTCTAGGAGGTTGTAGGGGCTGCAGTCTCTTAGGATATTGCTGTTAGACTCTTGAAATACATGCTCCTGCTGCCATGCCAACATCCTGGTGACTGCCAGGGAATTGTCAGCTCTTCCATTGAGATCTTTGAAGAATCTGTTTTCTTGTGCCTTGCTTCTAGCTCTGTAGGATTCAGTGTCTAACACAGAGGGAAAGATAGAAACGAAGCACCTGCTTCTGGTCTCCTTTAGTGTTTGCTAACTGGTGAGCATAAAGATGGCACAGCTTCCCTGCAGAGCTCTTATATTTTATCCCCCCCTTCAGACCTTTGGAACGGTGTTTACACATAAAAAGCTTTGTTTTTGTTAATATTATTTATTTTCTCAGTTTTCTTGTGTGTGTGTGTGTGTGTGTGTGTGTGTGTGTGTGTGTGTGTGTACACTCTTGAACTTTCCAGCTTCAGAGCTGTGGACAGCTAAGTTCTGTTGTTAATAAGTTACCAAATCTAGCTGGGCATGGTGTGCACACTGGTGTTTATATGTGTGTTGACTTTCTTTTCAACTTTTATTTATCTTTATATTGTTTTTCCCCTTAATGATTTTTATTAACTCTAAAAAGTAAGGAAACTACTTTGATTCCTTATGTAGACAGCTTTATAATTCCCTTCCCTTCTATGCTACTAGATTCAGATAAACATTGATTACAGAAATTGATGGGCTATCTTTTGTTCAGAATTACCGATCGCTAATTCTGCTTTATTAAAGTATATGTTACAGGGTCTCTGTGTGTAGCCCTGGTTGTCCTAGACCTCTCTCTGCCTCCTGAGTGCTGGGATCAAAGGCGTGCACCACCGCCTCCCAGGCTGTTAAATTTTTTGTTGTTGTTTTTGTTCTTGAAGAATTTATTGCAAAAGAAAATCCTAGAGAGTCTTACCAAATCCATAGCATTGTTGTTACGATTGCCGTTGCTTTTTTTGAGACAGTGTCTCACTGTAATCCTGCCTGACTTTACACCCATTATAAGACTTGGCTGCCTTCTCTGTGTTGGGTTTACAACTGTGTCACTCAGTGGGTTTTGTTTTTCAGCCATCAAAGTATGTCTTCATGTTTTTGTGTTTTTTTAATGGCATTTTTCTTTTTTCTTTTTAAATTAGAATAGTGTATTGACTTATAGTTAAATTCTGCCTATAGTCTTTTAGATTTGTAGATTCACAGGCTGTTGATGAAATGAAGCATTTGAAATGTTTTACAGATCGGTATCGTATCTTACTATGCCAGTATTTCCTTCCTAGTCTGACATGAACTCTAAAATTACACGAACACTTTCTCCATTTCCTGATATTTCCAGAGTTGTAGTTTCCTTTAAAAAATTATTTGTAAAAGAGAACTGACCAAGCATTCCAATATTTTTTTTAAAAGAGAAAATGCTGTAGTTAAAAGGTATAAAGTTCCTAATATTTTGCTGTAATTTTCTTCTAGTTTTATATTGCATTCCAAAGATATATTGTATTCCACTTCTGTTACCTGATTAGGATGCAAGTATGTTGTGTCATACTGTTTAATTTTCCTCTTTCTAAATTGGAAAAGTTTTTTTCATACAATATATTCTGATTTTGGTTCCCCTTCCCCAACTTCTAGTTTCCCTCTCCCACCTCCTCTCTTCCAAATTCACACCCTTCTCTCTCTCTTTAGAAAACAGAGACATTTAAAAAAAGAGTAAATATAAGACAAAAGCAAGCAAACCAGAATAGGACCAAAAAAAAAAAAAAAAAAAAAAAAAAAAAAAGGGAATAGGACAAAACAAAAATGAAAAAGAGCCAAAGAAAAAGCAAAGGAAACACAGACACAGGCACACACATTTGCACACACAGAAATCCCATAAAAACACAAAACTGGAAACTAATATAACTGCAACAGATCTATGTTCTTGATTTTAATTTATTACAAACCTGTCCCTCAGTTCTATAAATCTCACTGTGGTTGGTGGTTGAGCACTTTTTGTTTTGTTTTGTTTTGTTTTCTTTTCTTTTCTTCCCTGAGACAGGGTTTCTTTTTGTGACCCTGGCTGTCATGGAACTCTGGTCTGCCTTCAGAGTTCTCGGATTAAAGGCGTGTGCCACCACCGCCCACTACTGTGGTTGAGCTCGTTTGGTGCTCATCAGTCTCTCCCTTTCCTGGAGTCACCTGATCTGCCTGACTTGGAACTAATTGCCGTCCTGTGTGTGTAGCCTGCCTGAAATGCCCTTTTACCCATCCTTGGGATTCTCATTTCTTTTTCAAGTCGGGTTGCCCAGTTCCTGGAACCTATTATCTCCTCTCATGATTTTCTACTCTCAGGATCTTTTACAACTTCCTGAGAATAGTGTATGGAAAACAAAATAACTTGTTGCTTAACCAATGCTTGTATTATCTGCTCCCTGTGATTTATAGTCTGTCTTGGTATAGCATTCTAGGCTGCAAGTAATTTTTCCTGAAGATCAGACTTTGTATAGTTAGTTTTAGAAGCTAGTGTTGTTAATGGCAGTGTCTTTGATATCTTTTTGTTTTTATGCCATCTATATCTTTTCTAGTAGACTTTAGGGTCTTGTGATATGTTTGCCATTTAGAAATAAGATATGTGTGTTTCTATTGGAGCCTTTTTTTCTTTTTTCTTTTTCTTTTTATTTTATTAGTTCTAGTTAGGGAACAAGCTTATTTCAAGTC